AAATAACATCTGTAATATAAATTATCAAGAAATACGTAAAATATGAGTTTTACTTCAGATGAAACATTATAATTTATTATGTTTTATTTAGCAAAATGACAAATGTGCAAAAATAATAATTTTAATAAAAAAAATATCAAAAAAGAATACAGGTAGGTAAACAGTGACACAATATCTTTAAATATGTTTATTTACGCATACACATATTTATAGGGGATTAAATTATCATAAACCATTTAATTAATCAAAAAATAAATATAACATTAGAAAATTTTAATTGGTTACTTATAGGTACATGTTTTCTCGATTTAAATACATTATGATTAATAGTTTTTATGTTCATCTCTTTAGGATGATTAATGAATGTTGTATACTTAATAATAAATTCAATTTGTCCTATAATTATTTACAGCATTAATTGGAATCGTTATCGTAATGTTATAATTATAACGTAATTTATTTCAAAAAACAATTTGAATCATTGGCGTTCACAGAATTTTACTCTTTCTCCTTTTAGCAGAATCAAACCCCTTGTTAAAAAATGATAGAACTAGGGACCCCATGCCCAGTTAAAACGATTAATTACCACAAACCTTTAAAAACGTAATAAACCAACAATGTTTTAATTATCAAACGTTAATCAAAATTAACATTTTTTATTCTATCTCTGATTTTATATATTGTTTATTGTAACCACGTAGTGAACCATTAAGATCCCAGGAAAATTGTTTGGTAGAGAAATACACAATGTATAAAATTATCAGCTACAAATAATGCAGTAATCAATACATTGTGATTTTTTTAACGTTATCCATTCGATTATTTCCAATGTAATATAAATGTTTTGTACGAGGCAGCTAGACCGTATGACGGCTAGTTGTGCCATTTTACCTTAACATTGTTTAAATCGCAATTATTGAAGTGGCAATGGTTCACCTGTGGGATAACGGCTAACTGCACATTCAATAAGTAACGAGAGTAGACAATAATTAAATAACAAATAACCACATATGTTAGAAATTCTTCAAAGAGTATCTTAAATTTAAAGGGTAACGGGGCCCTTAAATACTAATGGCCGGCGAAGTGGCATAAAACAAAATAGTTAATCTCAATTAAAACAAATAATAAATAACATTAAAAATAATATAAACTCAGTTGAATAGATGAAGTTTTTGATAGTGATGAATGGACTGTATGAGATCTTGTCGTAATGGTGTCGAACATCTGAGTATGACGTGTAGGAGTGTAAATCCAGGTACCTTATGGCAGATGAGAACAGACTACGGAAATGATAATGTTTAGTGATGGTCAGGGCCCAATCACTAGTGGCGTGCAAGGGCACGTAAACTTTGAGCAAAAGGGTGCAATAAACAAATAAAGGAATAACGGCGTACAATGGCCGAACAATTTACTATTCAAGCGAAGGCGCTTGCAATGGAAAAAAAGTTGACACACAAAACATTTGACTGACTGACTTATGACAATCAACTGTACACGGATGAAAACCGATACGGAGGTCATCGATTTGCCGTGATGGGTGGGCAAGGGGGTGAGTAAAGCAAGATGCTGGTGATCAGTTGTCCCATGAAATAATATAATCAATGATCTTTGTAAAAACTGGTCAACTAGATCCTTCTAAAGGCATTCTATACCATACAATAATAAATAAGCATTTTTGTCTGAACTGTTTTAATTTTCTATAAGGCTGCAAACTCAATTTTTGCATATGTCAATATATATTTAAGTGCCTTATTTATTGAATAAATAAGATAATCTAATTAAGAAAATGACTGATCGATAGCAACTAATAAGTATAGAGAAGGGATGAACCATTATATAACTCTATTTATAATTAGACATTTTTTGGATCGCAGTCCTCTTGCCAGTATATTAAAATTTTGAAATCATCCTCATAAAATGTCATTAAAGAAATATATTATAATAAAACAGTAAATGTGTTTTTATGACTTGTTGTTATTATAAATTACAAATTGCAGTTGAATGTATTACTGAATAAATCTCTTTAATCTTCATACCAACTATTTGAGGTGAGTTCTACCTTATAATTTAACAGGATTTTTACACTATCATTCAATCTAACACATCCTCATAATAGCTGCGGGAGCCAGTATAGTAGCAAATTGTGAGTCTCTATTGAAGTTCCCATGTGGTCACCCAACCGAAAACCAACAGTAAACTGTACATCTGAACATCGGCGCTAAGGCGGTAACTGATTATTCTACTAGGCTACACCACGTCACTGTTAATTTATATAATAATCCATTTAAATTAATGTTTAACCTTAATTGTTTTAACGATATTTAATATTTATTCTAATATTTAGAAAAATCATTAGTAATATAGTATAAAATCAATTTTAGGAAAACGCTAAAAGTAATTTAGGTTCCCTTACTTTTTTAAAACTATATGATAATGGAGAGTAGAAAATTGTACGTTGTCCCCAGTGGCATTTTTTGTAAATATGAGCCAGCACCAGTATTAAGCCCTCTATAAAATTAAAAATAACATTAGAAGTCGAAATATATTTAAAGATATTTTATGATTTATTAAATTAGTGAGAAAATTTATTGGTAACATGAAATATGTATATTTAAAAATTGTATCATTTAGCTTAAAAAATAATTCTTCTGTTAATATTATTTATGACTATTTTTTTTTCAAACAACATTCATTTACGTAATTCAAATTTTCATAGATAGATGAGCAAATATATAACTATATTTGAAACTTATTTTTTGTGATATTAGCAATTATAGATAGAAATAAGATGATAAGCGGAGTAGTGAACATAGGCAGAACTAAGGGGGGCTTGAGGGATTAACCTCCCAAATTTTTTTCATCGCCCCCTCAAAAATTCACTGAAATTGTAGCATTATTATATAAAAAATATTTTTTGGAGGGAGGAAAATTAAATTTAGCCCCACCAAAAAATTGACTCTTCGTTTATAAAAGTGAGGATAAGCTTTTCCATTTTCAATATATTTAATGTATTGTTTGGAGGAATTAGATCAAATTTTCATTTTAGTAAAAATTAATTTCGTACTGATATGTACTTAAGAGTTCCTATAGAAACTATAATAATATTATTTTAAGAATAGTTATAATTATTATTTATAATTATTACTTATAATCCTGTCCATATTCTTAAATATGACAATTAAAAATTAGATTATTTTAATTTTAAAGCTAATAAAAAACCTTTTTTTTTTTTATTTACACGTCCGGCATTATTGTGGGCCTCCCTGGAACTGCCGTGAGGCATCACTTTAGAGTGGCCCACGCCGTTTATAACTCACACCACCATGTTGTGAATCAGCCCGAAATTAATCAAGAGATGATTTGTAACGTGGTGTGGCCCCCTCCCGTTAACCGGATCCTAGAGTGGGAACCGTTAGGAAGGGCTGACAAAATAACTCACAAGACAAAAAATATAACACAAAAATAAGAACCTAAGGCACCGGCCTAAACCAGCGCCTCAGGTCCTCCTGTGCCGGATGGCGTGGCTGTCTCTGTCTCAGGCGTTCCGCTTTCTGCTTCTTTTCCAAGACGGATTCAGCGAACACCTGGTCGAGCAACCACACTTCCCGGTTAACCTATATCAGGTCCACCATGGACCCGACTCGGAACGTGGACCCTAGTCGGGACTCCGATGAGTCCCGCCAGGCTATTCATGACTCTCTGAACCCACTGAGCTACACTAGTAATGTGCTGTCCGAACTTTAGACGTTTGTCTATGACCAGGCCCAGGTAAGTCATGGAGTCCTTAAGCGGGTTCTCCACCCCCAGCATGGCGAGCCGTGGAGGAGTGTATTTGTACCTGCCCGTGAATAAGACCATTTCGCGCCGAAATATATTCGACTATTTTTTAATTATATGACTTGTTATATTTTATTACTCGAACAGTCAAATACTGCAATATATATGTATAAGCGTTGATTATTTATTTTTAAAATGTATATTAGTATAATTATTTAATTGCTAGTATACATTACTATATACATTGTTATGTGAGCCTGCTACGGAAAGGTATAATAAATGAACAAACAGTTTGATTAAACGTAGCGATTTAGAATTTATTATTATATTGAATTATTTCACTTTATAAAGTAGAATAATATATAATTTCGAACATGAAGTAGTATACTAAGGCATAAAATAAAGACTGAAAATTAAGATATAGAATACTGTGACTGGTCATGACAAAACTACGACTATTTAAAGGACCTATATCATATGTCCAAGCGTCTCTCAGTCATAACAAATCCGTCAGCTGACTGTAAATAGGCGATCATCATACGCTGTAGAATGAAATTTATTATAATATTCTGTATTTATAAAATAACATTAAGAGATACTTAACAATATCTATATTACTTTAAAAAGAGAATGTAATTGTCAACTTTTAGTTGTGAATACGTGTATTATGTTAGCTCATTTTCAATTGCTCAGTGAGACTTATATAAATGTTTTTGTGTATATTTATTACGTTTTCTAATAATTCCTGTTTCTAATATTGAAATATGGTAAATGTATTTTTATGTCTAGGTTTCCACTATTTTATGATTTTTATCTGTTGTTAGTCCTTAATAAGACTTTGGACTAGCTCCCTCATTCTGTATAAAATAACATAAATAAATATAGATGCAAAATAACGTAAATTTATGAATTCATTTTTCAATTTGATTTTTCTTTACTATAGTAAAAAAACATATAGTTTTTCGTTAATTGGTCAAGAAAAAGACTGTATAAAATTTACTGTAGAAAACTGAATTTTATTTTTAATTGATTTTTTATATTTTAAATGGTAATTTAAATACTAGATGATGTCATTATAAAAAAAATATTTAAGTATGTAATTTATTAAGTCTAACTCTAATTATAATGTCAAGAACATTATAATATATTACTTTTTTTTACGAATTAATTATATAAGAATAAATATTAAGATTTGCACTATTTTAGTATAAATTGCAAAAAATTGATCATAAAATTATAAAGCTAAAATTAAAAAATTTAAATCTATTTTTTTAAATTGTTGCTTTCTTAAGTAAAAAAATCTTTACAATGCATTTAAAAAGCATATTAATCTTTTGTGCATTATGTTTTTTTACTGACACAATGGTAAGTATTTATTTAACTATTTATTTATTTATTTATTTTGTTAACAAATATAATTACTAAATATTTAAAGAGCGAAGGACTTAATGCACTCCACATACAATCTTTCCAAGTATTAGTACAAAATTTTAATAATAAAGAAACAGTAGAAAAAGTTCTTAAGTATTTTGGTATTGATAAAGAGTACAATTATAACTCTGAAGGTAATTATAACGTATAATTTTTAGCTTAGTTTTTTAACATGAATTTTTGTACAGAATGATTCTTTTAGCACTAGTCACTCAATTTATCTTAAAATAACAATTTTATTGTGAATTACATTTTTGGCTTTTGTTAGTTACATATGTATTTCAATTTATCTGTTACAAAATATTAGGTTTTCCTTTTATGTGTTATGAGGGTATCAATTTTATTTTTTAAATGGTAATATACATATTTAACTAGCCCATAAAATATAAAATTATGTTATTAAGAAAACAGCTAGTTGATAATACCTTTTGGACTAGTATTTCAAAGTTATTAATATTTTTATACCTTTTCTTGAGGAGAAGTGAGATAATGAAATATCTAGTGATAAAAATAGCAGGATCTGCCAGTCAATACTTTAATTTGTTAATAACTTTTGAAATACTAGTATCATAAAAAAAGAACTATAAAGGTTAGGGAAATAATTTTGTCATAAAATAAAGGGTAGAAACAAGTGGTATAGTTTTGTTATATAAATTAAAGAACGTGGTGAAGAATGTTAAATTTATAATTTGTGAATGAATAAGAGAAATAGGGTATGTGGATAAGATAGAATCAATGAGTTAGTTAAATTTGTTTAGCTACAAGGTGAAAATAAAAATATACATGTATGATACTGGATCTTTTTGGTAAAATGAAATGACTGCATATGGTTTGTCGTAAAAGGTAAAGTGAAGGAAAACTACATACGGATGACACTAACTTGAATAATATTAATTCTACTAAGAAATGTGCAGTTGTTCTGGGGGAGCATTTTATGACTCTTGATATTTTTTATCAATATTTTATTTTACAGAATGTATATCTATTGATAGTCATAATTGATAATAAACAATTCGTGACTGTGATAGCAATATCATAAAAAACCAATTAGCTACCTGTATTTGTAATCCCTTGTGCATTATACCTATATATTAACTCAAAAAATTGAAACTTTAAATGTTTATATCTAATAAACGAATAAAGTTATATTAAAAATTCTATTTGACATTTGTTATTAAATTAAAAACTCAAACATTTTATTAAATTAAAAATACGTGTTACCATTTAAAAAAACAAAGTTGACACCCTTACCAAGCATAAGGGATGAACTTAAAAAGTATTACATAGTTAATAATTCAAGAATAATGTGTAACTAAAGATAGTAATAAAAAAAGATTTTTAAATTATTATTATTCTGTAAGTAATTGAGTGGGTTATGATAAAAAAATCACCCTGTATATTCTTTTATACTTTAAAATAAAAATTTATAGAACCAGATAGATTATGAGAACCAATCCCTAGTGACATGTCACAAATAATCGTTTTACCAATAATTTCAAGCGCTTGATGTGCTAGGGTAATGACTTCAATAAACTATCAATATTTTATGAAATTGTGTATTTGATGTGAGAGTCGACAGAGTTAGAGATAGGCTGGCTATACCATCGGAGATAATACTAATCGATGGACGGACCTTACGGAGTCTAAAACTGCTTGCCGAAAAAAACGTAACGGAATATGAGAATCAATCCCTAGTGACTCGTCATAAACTATTGTTTTACGAATAGTTTTAACCGCTTGATGTTCTAGGGTAATGATTTCAACAAAACAACAGTATCTTGTGCAATCAATCAAACACTTTTCTATCTAAATGTAAAATACACTCTACGATCCCTTAGTGGCATATCATAAACTATTGTTTTACCAACAGTTTTTACCACTTGATGTGCTAAAATATATTTTCGAAATGCACTTATTAAATAAACAATCCAGTTGAAGAATTAAAAAAAATTCTTAATCGGAACAACTCACAAAACATAAAATTAAAAAAATGAATTGTCATAATAATTTATAAACATTTAAAACTTAAAATAAAAAGGTTAAGTTATTTTTTTTTTAAAATTACATTACTTATGAGAGAGTTAAATGAGATAAGACTTATGAGATAAAAAACACCAAGTGTGAAAAAGTTTCTAAGTCCGAGAGAACACAATCGTGAAACAATTCGGTGCAGAGACGCTTCATGACCAGATTTTTAGAAAAAATAAGTTGGAGAATGAGCCAGAAATTGCTCTTTTATAGGTCCGTTTTTGAGGTGGAAAATTGATATTTANTCTCAAAAAATTGTTTTTATAGATAAAGTGGAATAAAGAGGTGGAAAATTGATATTTCAGATTTTAATTGAAAAATGCTTCTTATTGGTTAGTCAATTAAACTTAAAGGGACACGTGCGCAACCTATTATTCTACTATTTTAAGTTAATGTTACATACGGGTATTGGTGTTTTGTATCTATCATCTCCCATAATAATGTGGTTTATTAGAAAAATCATCAATATAAAAATATAAATAAAATAAACTTATAATTGCTAAATATCTATTACACTAGCCCATAAAAAATTATCGACAGTCCGTTTCTTAATTACATCATATTCTATTTTATAATTTAGATAAATATGTATGTGTCTATTGAAATGTGTCTATATTTACCTTACTTTCTTTATTATTTATTTAAATAAAAACATATATTAAAAAATATAATATTATACTCAATTTGAAATACCATATGAATATATCAATATTTTTTATAGTTTGATGTTTTTAATATAAATTATTTTGAATTAATACTTTTAACACTTTTCAAACCAACCTAACAACACCTCATTATTCATTTTATTAAATCAATTATTCAAATTGTTTTATTTTTTGCATCAAAATTTATTTTATTTATTAATCAGCAATTTGATAAATATAGCTCGGCTTAAAAAAAATGGTTTATTATTCACGATAATAATCGCTTAAAACTGTTAGAAATGTATTTTATTAATTACTATTAACTAACTGAGCAAAATGTAGTGAAAAATATTAGGTGACTACTCAGAAAACTCATCGAAGAAGTGCCACTGTATTTAAGTTATTACATTACGTTTATGTGCCCTAATTATTATTAGATAGTACTGTTTATTACAGCGTTATGCGATTCAAAATAAAAAAAAAAATCACAAATAATATACAAACTAACCCATTAAAACCTCCCAATAGATATTTTTTAAAATTACGTGTAAAAATGTTGAAAGTAATAATTATGATAATAACTTTATATTTGAAACACTTTTATATTTTCATTAATTTTCGAGAAAAACTATGTATCATGAAATTTTAACCACCCTGCATTTATGGAATAACTATTTTATAGATAATACATTCATAAGAGCTTTCAAGATTCTAAATTTTGTGGCTGGAGTTGACAAGTTGAGCGATAACACTAGGGTAAAATCACATATTCATTAATTATTATCTTTTTCATCTGAATTATTAATAAATTATTTTGCATTCTATAGTTAGCAGAAAAACTGGATAGAGAAATGGTAGAAAATATCTCAACTCTGTTCAGTGAACTTGACATAGAAAAAGATGGTGTTATAGATGGTAGTCAATACAATGAAATTCGTAAAAAATGTCATCACTATGTTCAAAGAGTAATTATATATTTATTTAAAAATACTCACAACTTTTTACACCTGAAAAACATTTCCCAAGATTTATTCTCTCTTACGCAAAAATAATAGATAGAACTGATAATAGAAACTCACTAATAAAATGTTAAAAAATATTTTGCTTAAAACCCAATTAAATATAGAAATTTAAAAACAAGGTCCATCCTAATACACTTGTTTTTAAATACTTTCTTTTACATAGTCATATTACAATAAACTATTTTGTATATTTTAGGGTGGTTTGATTGATGATTGGAAAGAAAATATTAACCGTAATTATTTAATAAATTATTTACAAAATTCTATTTTTTTCTTTTATATTGTTGTATTTTTTAGTTAAAAAACTTTACGAGTTAGGCGATATACTGCTCGAATTATTACAATACAGAAAAAAATTAAATGGGAATATGTTTAGAAAAATTCATCGGAATTGCATTGTCATGTTTATTGAAAGTATCAAAAATGGCGTTAGTCCAAAGAAGAAATATGCAAAATATTTAGATAACACTATTTATTTTTATATTCAAAATCGTCCACGTGAATGGTATCTTTAAGTTTATATTACTCATCATAAAATTACCATTGATATGATAGTACAATACAATTTTTCTCAAATAATTTTAAAAATATAATCAAATGAAATAATTATTTGTGTATCTATAGAAATGTAATTTCCTGTTTTGAATGATATGTAACATAAAAAAAGTTTAAAAGTATTATTATTTATTTTATTAAATAAAATTAGATTATTTTGTAATCTTTTCAATAAGAGTTAATGTGCAGCGCTTTCCAACGGACTTTCTTGTAACTGGAAAAACGGCAATAAAGCTGTAGCGTAACGCTATACTTTCTAAATTATTTATTAATAATAAACTCTTTCTTCTGTTTCTTAGTACACACACAAAATAATCCAGTAATGTTATTACATGAACGGTATGTGGGATTAATGTCACAGTTCATCTTGACGTATACTTTTTGCATATTCTTATAAATATTTAAAAAACACGCTAATAAAAAAGAAAAATTGATTTTATCATTATACTTAAAACACCGTTATAAAGGAAAGTTTTATTAAACTAAAATAAAAAAAATTTACTGAACAGTTTTGTCTGATAACCTTTTGTCCACACACTATCCATTTTTAACTTGAAGATATATTTTTACTATTTATTTATTTTTTTTATGGTAGACGAATGCACGTAGTTATTAAAGTTTGTATATTGTGTTAGCTATTCAATAATATTAGGTATTTGATGTTAATGTACATTACAGTTTCTATGTCATATATTCAAAATGTAATTATAAATGTTATAATAAAATTCTAAAAATATATATTAGTTAGAGACACGCTAATAAAAAAGTTTCATCTATTTTTGTTCTTAAAACAGCGTTTAAAAGGAAAATTGCATATAAATGATATACACGCTGATCTGTAGCTTGTCGCCCACGTGAAATTTCACAGTTAAATTATTTTTCGTATCTTGAGCAGGTTGAGGTTTTACACCACTTGTTCCGATATCATATCGAATGTTTTATGCAAATTTTTGTATTGGTACATCAGTTATGGCGACCGTTTCACCCACTTGTGTGTGCCATGAGCGCTTAGTCGCGCCACATTGCAATTTCAAGCGTTACTGAGATACGCTATCATCGCAGAATAAGTCGACCATTGTTGATTGCTGATTGAAATTGTTTACTGTAGAACAATTTACTATTGTCTGGTTCCAAAAGCTCATGATAACGATGTTAATTTAATATTTTACTCATTGTGGTGGTAATTTCGTTAGCTGATTTATATTTTAGCGGAACGTATTTTGAAAATCAGTCGTTCCACGTTCCAAGTTTACCGATGTCATCTGTCCGATGTTATGTGTCATCTGATACACGCACATTTACTCGATGTTAGCTTACTATGCATCGTCGAGTCCATTGATGTCTATGTGAGCACGTGTGTATGTCGGGTGAAGTTTGTTTTTTCACTAAGTCAATGATATCTGCTCAACGTAATCGGCTTCCTGCAACTCCTCCAATATAGAAACGGTTTTCGGTGCAACTTCAGTGTTGCCAGCCGACCGGGCCGATATCAATAAACGTAATCGTTCTACAAGATTGTCGCAGTCTATCGCAATCTATTTTCTTATTGTTCATCCTCAACTGAAGAACTACACCCAGAGAAAAACCTCGATCTATATAATAAATTCATTGTTCAATTTGATAAATATATCATTACTATTGAATCAATGATATATTTATCAATATGATATTTCTTTTTCTTGTCTTGAACAATAATTATTTATAAGAATAGTTATTTTGTTCGTATTAATAAAACATTATCATAAACCCTTGATAAAATTTCTCTTTCAATTTTGATTGAGGTTTTTCTTTGGGTGTATATCGACGACCGATGTTTCTCGTGGCTGTTTTCGCTGTTGGTTTTGTAGTAATTATATGAGGAAGTATTGAATTACGTCGATTTTAGTATAATATAAGCCTTATAATAGTAGTAAGCAATTTTTGAACTCTTAAGCAATAAAATAATTCCATATAAAAGGGAAATGCAGGGTAAGCAAATTAATAATGGTGGGAAAAAGAATATAAAAGGGAAACATGAAGAGTATAGGGGGTCGACACGGGACGATACTGAGCGAGACGAGACTGGACGTTTTTGTCGAAGGAACGTCGAGTTGCGGGTTAGGTTGTTGACGTAAGAATAACTATATACTTTTTGTAAGATTTAATTAATTTTTGTGTTAAATTATTATATTATATTTGACTTTTGTGTTTAATACTTTTCGTAAATAAAATAGCTATTTAAAAATCTTGACTTAGCGCAAATATTTTATTTTCACGGTGATCTCGAAATTGTGTGTGTGTGTGCGGCTAGAGTCTAGGTTGGACTGCTGGTCCTTTAGTCAATCTTAATAATTAGTGTACGAGCTGGCTAGTGTTTGGGCTTAACCGTCCTTTAGTGGGTATAGTAAAAAGGTAGTTGTGCTGGTGGCTGACAAGGAGCCACCCTTCAGTCTGCTACTTTTGAGCTAGACCGTGCTGACGGGTCTAAACTCTACCCCTTTAGTGGTCCACTAATTAGAGAGATTGGGGCTGATCAGTTTATCCAACGGGAGGACTCGGGAAGAGCTCGAACGGCGAACTCGTCGTCAATATATATATACATAACACTTTAGTAAACCTTTGTGTCTACGTTGGGGTACTACCGACGTACGACAGTTTCAAACAACGATGGGATTTTACTGCATCGCCACTGCCGTCGTCTTCAAACAACCGTTTAATAGTGTTCACATATTTTTTGCCTTTTTTTCCAACAATCCGTCTGTATTTAAATACACATCGGTTTTCGTTGGAATTGTTTTGTATGCATAACAAATCCAATTGGGGTAAAACACATCGACTCAGTGGGTCAAGTCAATGTGTTTTGGTTACGAAGCGTCTAAACTATTATTCATAAAATCTATTTAGATGTTTGCTATTATAGCAGCTAATTTCCTGTGTAGTAAAATAAAATAGATTTAAATATGAATAAAATTTAAGTTTAATAAAAAGAATTTTGAAATTTAATAGGTTATTTATTTTATTTAAGAACAAATTTATTTTCGATTGTAAACACAAATAAATTTAATTAGTCCGACTCTAGAGAAAAATGATTTTATTTATATTTGCATCTTTAATCGAGATTGTAATTAATTCAAATTGTTTCATTAAAATTAATTATTTGTTCATTAAACTAGTTAAATTTCAGAAATTGTTCATTTTGTTAGACAAAACTCATCGTAAATTTAATTAATTTTATAGTTAAATGTTATGATTGATATTGATTAGTTTAACGATTAAATCTCAAAAAATTGTTTTTATAGATAAAGTGGAATAAATAGATATTTGTAATTGTAGTTTGATTTTTAATGGTATATTGAGAAACGCGTTTAAAAATGTTTTTTTAGTTATTTCGTAATTTAATAATATCTCTCTGAGTACAAAATAATTATAAAATCTTTAGTTTATTTGTAAATTAAATATTAAAAAAATATATAAAACCCACAAATAAAAGTTTTTGATAAATGTAACAGTATGATGATGATAGAGTTCACATAAGAACAATCGTTACCAAGATTTAGGCATTCATAAAATTCAGCAAGTGTGGATATAGAGATTAATCTGAATAAAATATCAAAGCACATATTACCCTTAAAAATTGAAAAAAATGACCCCGTTCCGCGTAAATGGGGGAAACCTCCAAAAAAATTACAAATTTAAAAATCGCTAATTTTCGAAATTTTTTCATTTTTTTTTACTAAAATGTGCCGTAAATTTTTCAAAAACGAACATATCAATATAATTTTTTTTTTATACATGCTTGATATCTTTACCTATCATTTGANTTTTTTTATATAGATGCTTGATGTCTTTACCTATCATTTGGTATACTTTTTTTGTAAATTCAACCCTTTATCTGCCCACAGGGGGGGATTTAAAATGACAACTTTTTCACAAAAAATTAACTTTTTCAACTTAACTTTTGAAAATGTTCCGGAAGGTCTGACACTTTTATATATATCTTAAATTAAAGCTAATGTAATGTACTTTAATTTGAAAAAAAAAAATTTGACCTCTGGACTTGTCTTCATGGTGAAAACGGCTACCGAATGCTATTTTTGTGTGAAAATTTTCGATTTTATAATTTACATTTTTTACTTTAAAGTGCTATAACTTTTTAAAAAATGTATGGATCAATACAATTTTTTCATGAGAAGTAGTATTTATATACATCTTTCATTGGATATACTTTTTTTTTAAATCAGACCATTTCCCTATATATGGGGGGGCTTAAAATATAAAAAATGCATATATAAAGTATAATTTTTTCAACTTAACTTTTGAAAATGTTCCGGAAGGTCTGACACTTTTATATATATCTTAAATTAAAGCTAATGTAATATACTTTAATTTGAAAAAAAAAAATTTGACCTCTGGACTTGTCTTCATGGTGAAAATGGCTATCAAATGCTATTTTTGTGTGAAAATTCTCGATTTTATAATTTACATTTTTTACTTTAAACTGCTATAACATTTTAAAAAATGTATAGATCAATACAATTTTTTCATGAAAAGTAGTTTTCATATACATCTTTCATTGGACATACCTTTTTTTTAAATCAAACCATTTCCCTTAATATGGGGGGGCTTAAAATATAAAAAATGCATATATAAAGTAGAATTTTTTCAACTTAACTTTTGAAAGTGTTCCGGAAGGTCTGACACTTTTATATATATCGTAAATTAAAGTTTATGTAATATACTTTAATTTGAAAAAAATTTTACCTCTGGACTTGTCTTTGCGGCGAAAATGGCTATCGAAAGCTATTTTCGTGTGAAAATTCTCGATTTTATTTTTATATTATATTTAACTTTATAATGCTATGACATATTGAAAAGTGTATGTATCAACATTATTTTTTTATGAGAAATATTATTTTTTAATAATCCCTTTTTCATTCGACATAATTTATCTTAATCAGGATATTAATAAGGAACTTGCAGATCATGTAGCTTTTGGAATAATCTACAAATTTTTTAAAATTAAACACTATCTAAAGATTTGCATCGAAGCGTTTTTTTTTTGATAGTGATTTTAATCACTGTCAGATATCATTATACTTGATCCAACTATGCCGCGTCACCACTGTGCCGCGACCCCCCTGTGCTGGGTTTTT